TTTTTTACCCCCCCCCCCCCTTTTTGGGGCCCCCTTTTTTTTTGAAAAAAAGAAAAATTTTATTTTTTTTTTGGGGTTTTTGTTTTCCCAAAAAGGGAAAAAAATTTTTCCCCCCTTTGGGGAGGGAAAAAGGGGAAAAAAACCCCTTTTTCTTTTTGAAATTTTGGGGGGGTTTACCCCCCCTTTTTTTGGGGTTTTTTTTTTTTCAAAAAAAAAAAAAAATTTTTTTGGGGAAAAATAAAAAAAAAGGGGTTTTAAATTAAAAATTTTTTTAAATTTAAAAAAAAAAAAAAAAATTTTTTTTTTTTTTGGGTTTTTTTTGGGGCCCAAAAGCCCCTTAAGGGGGGGGTTTAAATTTCCAAAATTTTTTTTTTGTTTTTTTTGGAAAAAAAAAAAAAATTCCCAAATTTTTTTTTTTTTTTTTTTTTTTTTTAAAAAGTTTTTTTTTTTTAAAAAGGGGGGTTTTTTTTTTTTTAAAATTTTTACCGAAAAAAAAAAATTGTTTCCCCCCCCCCCCCCCCCCCCCCCCCCCCCCCAAATAGGAGCTGGAGGATTCCCGACGGGAGGCAGAGGAGCACCAAGAAAGGGGAGAGCAACGCGAGGGGGAGGTCGAGGGGTTGCTGGAGAGGGAGGCCGACGAACGACGCGCCAGGGGCGAGGCCGAAGCGGAGCTCGAGCAACTCCGCGTATCGCACAGGTAGGTTTAAGGCACCACGTGCCCTGAGGAAGGAATTGTAGGAGCAGGGTGCGGCTGTGGTTGCGAGCGTGGTTCGTGCACCGTGCTGAGGGATTTATGAGGAGGAGGCATAGTATTGCTGGGAAGATGTTTACGCGCCCTTGATGGTTTCATGGGGGGGGCAGGGGAAATGGGTGGGTGGGAAAGAAACGGGGATACATACACGTATCTCCCAACGTAGATAGCCGGTATTCGGAGGTATGCATGCAGCAGGGGGGCCGCAGCACACCGAGCAGATAGACGGTCAGCAGACAAAAGCACGGCACCGACACCAATCAACGCTGCCGCGCACCCTGGAAGCAGAGCGCTGGAGGAACAGCTTTCGGCGCTGGGGGAGAAGGCGAAGGGGCTCGAGGGGAGGTCTACGGAGCTCGAAAGGAGGTCCGCCCAGCTCGAGGAGAAAACGGCCGGGCAGGAACGCGAGATCTCCCGGCGCGCTGCGGAGCTCGACAAAGTGTCGGCCGAGCTCGAGCAGAGGAGCTCCGAGCTCGGAGAAGCCAGGGCGGAGCTCGGGGACACGGGGGCACGGCTGGGGGAGACGCAGGTGGTGCTAGGGGAGACGAGGGGGGCGCTCGGGGAGAAGGCGGCGGCCCTGGAGCGAGCGCTGTCGCAGCTGGAGGAGAGAGAGGCGCGCCTGGGGGAGGTCGGGGGGAGGGTTCGGGAGGTGGAGGGAGACAGGGACCGCGTTGCCCAGGTGCGATGTGCGTTGACAAGCTTGCCTTGTTGTTGAGCGGGCCAGAGTTGCAGGTGGGGAGGAATAAATACACCTCCTCGACCGATTTCGGTTTATGTACCACGTGCACGTCCGGTCTGTATTCGCAAGCGCTGGCGTCAGCGGTGATTGCTGTCGCCTGCAGTGTCTCGGTAGTATTTGCTCTGAATTAGAAAGACAACGGATCTAGACGCTGTGAAGGGTTTTCCATGGCTCATGAGGCAGGTTTGTTTTGCTTCATTTTCGCCATGAGGTCGAGTGAAAGCCGAACGTTTTGGACGAAAGAAGGCGATTTTTTGTTTTTGTTCGATGTACACGTTTACCAGGAGTATAAGCTCTGCACCAAAGGGTGTTCTTCGCTAATTGTTATTATTAACAAACTACGTCGTTTCCACGTGATTTGGGTGTTTGTGCCCATGTTTTGTTTTTGTACCAGGAGTTGCGCGACTTGCAAGGCGTCTTCGAGAATTTTCAGGCCACGTCGGCGGAGCGTGCGTACGACTCTTCGGAGCGGACCGCCTCCGCCTTCATACGGGAGAGGCAAAGGGCGTCGCTGCGCGCGGCGATCTGGCAGTGGAGAGCAATCACCCTCAGGGTACGGGGAGACTACGTAGCGGCACACAGAGTGGCGAAAGTCTGCGCCGCAAAAGCAGACGAGCAATTTTACGTTCATCAAGTGGTTGCTCTCTTGTAGGACAGCAGTGGTGGGATATGCTTTCAGGCAAAGCTGAACGTGGAGCTCCGTCTGTTTTCTGTGACAAGGTTTGCATGAAATCGCTGCATGCTCAGCACCAGTTTACCCCGAGTCTCGATGCGGTCCCCACCCTGAAACAGCATCGAACAGAGGGTGGATGCTAGCACGGTGTGAACCCAACCTGTGCACCGCGGCGACAGCATTTATGCCCTGTCACAAACGCCACGGCACCGTGGCAAGATTCACGTTAGGTCCATCTTCCGTTTCTGTTGTTGTCGTGATCTCACGGGCTGCTAGTGCTGTTTTGGTCTCAGCCTTCGTAGGCGTGGATAGGGGGGCTGCAAAGGTCGCCCGTTAGAAGGAGAAGCGAGGCCGTGCGCAATGCTTCCGGCGGTGTGGCACTACATAATTTAACATGGTGTTTTCTTTCTACACTCCTCCCCTTTGCATGCCCTGCAATGCACGCTGTGTGTACCTCTGCCGTGCTTGGATCTCGCGAACGCGGATGGATGGTGCTCGAACAGTCGGACTTGGGGACGGCGATGATGCTGGCCGATAGGCTCAAGCTCCGGCAAGCGAAGGTAAATGAGGGAGGCGGGAACAAGCTGAGGAAGCCAACGTATTCTCGAAGCGTTAGGTAGGACGTGCGTTCAACATTTTCATCCCATGTGCGATGTTCTCTGCACCGGCCTACAACCCTCGTCCTTAACCCACTCTTGTAGAGCCGGGGTCACTGAAAGCGCCCCTCCCCCTGACGCTCCTCGTCCGATGCGCGCCTGTTGTGTTCGAGCTCTTGTGGCATGAAGCGTTTCGAGAACGGCGCAACACGTGCTCGACTCCTACCCACGTTGCCGTGATTTCTTACAGCGAAGACTTGACCTACGACGGCTGTCTCGTGATGTAGACGAACGTTCACGACTTTGCACAGGGCCACTTGCATCGCCCTTTCGTGGCCCTTGGTAGAGTAGAGACACACGCGTACCCACGCAAGAGTACGCACGAGGTTACCCACCCCCCACGGGTCCGGCCACCGGTACATGCGATACGAGAAGAGCAGCCTACCCCCTCCTCCACGCAAGCTCCTCGGGAATACAACCGCCTTTTTTTGTTCCTCCTTTTCCCTCCTTCTGATCCCCATGTCGACTCCTCACCCCCCCCGCCGTTGTTGCGTTCGTAAATTTTTGCTCCAGCGTGGTGCGTTCGGCGCCTGGTTGGACCTTTGCCGGCGACGCTCGCACGCTCGAGCGCTGATGTCAAGGCTGCTCCATCGGCGAGTTTATTTTCTTACTTGTCAGTTTTTTGTTTGTGCTCCTTCTATTCGATTCAATTTTTGTCTTGTTTCAAAGTGCTCAATATCGACTCTGTAGCCGTCGTGATTCCACACCCATCTCGTCGCCCAACTGCCTCCCCCCCCCCCCCCCCCCCCCAAA